ACATTTACGTCTCACATCTGGGTAACTGAGGAGACTTTGCTGACATTGAATGCAACAAGAATGTGAGAGGAATTGGGACTGCACACATGGAGATAACAGAGCCTCCATAATCAGACTGCTAGGGACCCAGTGATGGAGGACAGAAAAACTGCCAGAAGGTAGAGGCCCACTGGAGCCCTTACAAAAAATGGTAGGGCTGACTGCAATGCACCTGACTTGTGCGACAAATCACCTTAGAGGACTAGGAAATGAGTGACACTGAGCCCAGCAATAAAGGAATGGAAAACCACTGTCCACTGCAAGCTTGCTGGGGCAGGGGGTATCTAGAAGGTAGGAGACAGCTAGCACCATGGAGGATGAAACTGGTTGGAATTGCAGTCTTGGACAGTCCCTGCCTCTGTACAGCCAGAGGAGGAGATGACTGACCTCTCCTTCCACTCCCAACCTCCTGTTGCTGTTGAGGTACCTGGTGCAAATCAAGGGACAAGGTAGGTAAGGTGGCCAGTTCCCAGGACACAGAAAAAGACCTGTGGGGAGGGAGCAAAAAAGAACCAGCATGGCCCTTTCCACATAACAGACTGTGTCTGTGCCCATGACTGCCCTGGTGGGGAGAGGCTGCAGGGGGTGTGCCTACTCAGCTATCTTCTTTTGGCCCACAGGAGATTCCTACAGACCCAATGCAGAGCTCTCCTTGGAGCAGGAACAGCGACTCAGGAACAACCTGATCTGAAGCCATTATTGCACTCCCAGCTCTGCTTACACACCAGATACCTCAGCTTACTGGAGCCATGCCCTTCACGGAGCCCCGACTCACAGGACAAGGGGCTGCTGACAAGGAGCACTAAGAACCTGCTCAGGAAGCCTTCCACTGGCCAGACCATCACCTGGGGAAGGCAGCACTCTAGGATGGCTCTGGGCCTCTCCAGAGTGCTCATGGCCTCAAGGCTCTGGCCAGATAAGCCTTCTCTTACTCAAGGAGACTCAATCTTTCTTAAAACTTGATGCACAGGTCCCAGTTTCTGGAGCTCTAAGTTACTTAGGGATGAACTGTGACCAAGGCCCCAAGTAAGTGGTGCTTTGCAAATGCCTAGAAGGTGCAGATGACAGAGAACAAGGAACACAGCAAATGGAGTCAGTTCTGTCTGCTATAAAGCTCTGTTCAAAATAAGTGTCAAAGTCACGCCTGGCAGAGAGGTTGGTGAATGCAGCCTTTCACCTTATCCTCACTTAGAACTCACGTCTCTTCCTCTGAAGCCTCTCCTTAGCATCTTTACCTTCATTCTGTCACACATGGGGGTGTTTCTAATGCCCCTGATCCCTCACCCCCCCCATTTCCTGATGGATCAAAAACCCCAATTACGAGGCTGGGGAGCAAGTTTCACAGAAGTGATTAAGAGATGGCCTTTACTGTGGAGCAGCAAGAGATCAAGAAGACAGCTGAGGTCACATAAACTCAGCCTCTGTCAGGACCTTTGCCAAGAGAGACAACAGGATGTCCCCATATCCGGCAGGCAGTCCAGTCTCTTTTAGGATCACCCACATCGTAGGGTTAGGCTAATGTTGAGGTTTAACCAAGGCCACTTCATTGTAAACAGACTTTTGTGACTGAGAAGAAATTGTTCAATCAAGCCACTTTGCAGGAACATGAAGACAGGTCTGGTAGAGTTAGGAACAGAAGACTGAGGAAACCAGAAGTAGGAACACTTAATTTAGTCAAGGTCCAAGCCGGGGAAAGGCCACCATCTGTGTGTAGGTAGCTGTGTTCTGCTCTTGCTCAGGATCTCCTTGGGCATGTCCGGATCTATTCTCTACTGACAAACACAGATGATCCTTTTAGGTCTTTATAATGCCAATAAAGATTGCTCAATATGGACTGCTACAAAGACCAGACCAACCAGCTGTGCTTCCGTAGTGTCCAGTGCACTGCCTTCTGCCCTCTTTCCTCCAGAGCTGGATAAGCAGGCACAGAACAGACTTCTGGGGACAGCCTACCCCAGGACGTTTCTCAAGTCAGACACTAACCTACTTTGCAGTTATCCTCTCCAGGCTCAACACTGAAACTAGGGTCAGAAAGGTTGAGAGGTGAACGGGAAAAATGAGAAGGTACAATCCAAAGACAGTAAGCTATTATAACAGAGGCTGCAAAACCAAAACTGAAAGGTAGCAGACATTAAGTGATTGACAGTACTCTCCTCCCCACAATACAAGAGCTACCCTGAGAGTCAAAAGGACATGTTTTGGGGTATCTTCTGTGAATACAAAGTGCCTTTTTCTGTCTCTTCCATTCCCGCATCTCCTTCATTTGGTATAGGAAGCCTTTTTTGGTGTAACAGTTTAGGTAAACAAGGGAAGGACTGATTTCTTGTTGGATCCAGCAAACAGTGACAACATTATACTCACACATGAAGCTAATGGTCTGGGAAAGAATGTGCAGCTAGCTAGAGGATTGGGGTGGGAGTGATGACTAGATCTGGGCAGGGAGGTAACCCTGAGCTTCTTGTTAGATCTAGTTTCCATGAGGCCAGAAAAAGCAGGCCAGGCGGACAGCCATCGGCACTGGTTTTAGCCTCCCTGCCCACATCACACAGTTGGTAGGTGCAGCCGGTTCTAATTCCTGGAAAAAGCTATACAAGAGCTGTGCTGTTAAACTTCTGAGTTGAAAGAGAAAGACACGGGAAGGCTGATAGTTGGCATGACTTTATAACTAGATGAAGAATGTTAGCACCAAATTCCAGACAGAACCAAAAACCTCAGAAGACTTTCACCTTGGCACTCAAAGGCCTCAGAGAAACTGAAATGCTAAGAAGCTCTCTCCTCAGAAGCTAACCTAATGCTACAAAGATAGTCACACTATGAAGAGAAAACTAGAATTGCAGGGACCAACTTTCCACTAGAAATTCTCCATAACCTGAGATTCAGATGTCCACCATATATGTACAGTGCAGTACACAAGATGTCATCTTCAACAGCTAACACCTCTTTCACAGCAGCCATATGGCTCAAACAACTCTCCTTATTTCAGAGGTCTGTTCCATGAGACAATGGCAGCCACATGCTCTCTCATTAACTCCTTATAAAAGTTTGGTTTAGAGATAACCAAGGATTTGATCCTACATAAGCTTGAGGCAGTCAGTTTTGGGCAATGGCTGGTATTTTTTTTTTTTTTTTAAACCACTGGCAAATACACAGAAGCCCCAACTACTGGAATAATATAAGCACATTTTCAGAAGTAAAGAGCAATGCCCCATAACGTTCAAATGCTGACTTTAAAAAATTTTATTGTCTGAGACTGATTGGAAGAGTAACCCTGAGGGTTAAAAGTAGCTAATCAGCAGGTGTAAGACAGGCTGCTAGAACATTACTGTTAGAATGAAAAAAAAATTTTTTTTGGGGGAATGGTGAGACTTACTAAAAACTGAATAATAAACATGGGGCTGTGCATGATCATTAACAATGCCTTTTAAGGAAGGACACTAAACAGTTAACAGGAAGTACTTTCACAGACAAGTGACAAGAACAGTCACTTTTCCTTCCCCCCCCCCCCCCACTCTCAAGGTTACTGCAAGCCTTTAAAAATCCACATACAGCATAGGAGTATAGCTCAGAGGTGAATGATATCCAGCACATATGTGGCCATGGTCCGGTATCTAACTTGGGGTAGAATGTCAAGCCATGGCAAGTATGTGCCTTAGAAGTATCTCTTAGTATACAGCCATGCTGGAGATGAAGCAATGGCTCAGCAATTAAGAGCCTGGCTCTTCCAGAGGACCCAGGCACAATTCCCGGTATCTATGTGGTAGCTCATAACCATCTGTAGTTCCAGTCCCAAGAGATCTGACACACTCTCTGGCCTTCAGTTACCAGGAATTCACAGACATGCATAAAACTAATAATAATATAACATAAAATCAAAACATGTTTATATTTATATATTATTATAGTATATTTATAATAATAACACAAAATTATTGTTATTAATAATAATAAAAGCCGATGCTTGAATCCTTGGGATTTTCTTTTAATGCACCGACTGTTTAAACAGACCTGATATTAGAGAGTCTGTTCTGTGAAGACAGAGCACAGGCCTTATAAGTGCAAGCCAAAAACTTAAGTGGAAACAGAAGATCAAAAAAACAACTTATGTTCCTAAATATGGAAAGGTGGCATTGTGTGGGGTCACTGGAAAAGCAAACCCGGAATGAGAGAAACAATGCTCAAGAGTTGTGACAGGGCTCCAAGACTAGACTAGTAACAGAAACAGGTCAGGACTCAGACCCAAGGCCAGTGTCATTTGAGGGATATTTGAAGAGCCTCATTCTACCATGTTTTAGACAAAGCTAATAATCCATCATTGTCATGGGCATAAAAAGAATCATTGTCATGGGCATAAAAAGAAGAGGCTTCTGCCCTAGTTGAAAGCATAATGTGACACCAGTTCTTGCCACTTCAGCACCTTAAAGACTAGGACTACCATTTCTTCAGCACCAAACTACTTTCCAAAGTTATCAAGATGGCAGATGTGAGACAGAAAAAGCCTCAGTTGGTGGCTCTGACCTGTCCATGTCCTTTCACAAACTGTTCACTGCCTAGGTGTTTATTTCAACCTGGCCGCTCATGACTGTATTGGATAGTCTGGTGCTGCTTGCCAAGTGCCTCTGGCACAAGCTAAGATCATACCCAGAACATGCTGTGTGCCAGATGTTTCCTGCAGGGTGTCACATTTGACAGCTATGGAAAAAGGCAAGAGGTTGAAGGGCAGATACACAAAGGGGCCAAGGCAAGAGAAGCTGTTACAGAGAAATGCCAGGATGGTCACTTAGGGAGTATCCTCCAGGGAAGAGCAAATGTTGAGCACTCTACTCACTAGGATTGATAAAGCAGCATCAGTTTAAACCATGCTCAGCATCAGAGACATGAAGGTTAGATAGCTCATCTATGGGTTTTTCTTCTCCCGTTGTTGGGTTTTGGGTGGGAGGCAAAATTCATAAACACAAGAATGATTTATGTTATAAAAGTCTTTAATCGCTCCCTCTCAATGCATTACTGCTTAAACTGGAGCTGGCACTTGGCTCCCTGGGACTAGCTTACTGTGAGGAAGGAAAGTGACAGACCCCTGGCCGCTGTGCAACTGGAGCAGTACCAGGCACCAAGCTTAGTACAAACTCAGGAGTCCAAATACTCACAACGCGCTGTGGTCACTGGCTTCAAAGTTCTGGTGCCAGGAGTGTAGACTCTATGTGCCAAGCACACCAGGCACTTCTGTCTCTCTGAACTGCTTCCCACGTCCCCTCTCTCCACTGTCCCTATTACTGTTGTTCTCCATTTTGTGAAGTACTAAGGAATACCTTGCTGTGTGGGCCTATCACTGCAGGCTTGAATCCTCTGTTCTGCTTTACATCTGCTTTAGACTTCCTGGAAGTGTGACCCACAGTAACATGACCTGTTCTATGCTGAGGACTCTTGGATTTTTACTTCCCACATGATGGTTCCTTTTAACATCCACCACAGTGGACTGTTCTGAATTTAGGAGTGAGGAAAGGACTCCTCGTTCTCTCCATACGCTCCAGTCTTTTGTCTTGTTCACATTTTCTTTTAACATGCTCATCTACATGTACACAGCTCTGGAAAGATCCTCTTGTCTCAAGGCTATGAACCACTTCCTAATTCAAGGATTCATTCCTCCCAGTATGTGATGTTCAAACCGCAGATTGGTCTCTGCCTTCCCAGATATCTTCCCGTTGCTTTGCTTCCAAACGTTTTCTCTCTGTAAATAAAGGTCAATGTTAATCATCTGATTACATATTTCACACAGCCAAGTGAGTGTCCTTTAATCAAATCACAAGACAACTTTATTTGCAAGACAGGTAGATTTCCTGATCACCTTTCATCTGATTCCAGTGCTTTCCAAGTGCTTTACAGAATCAATACATAGACATTTTTATTCTTGTTTTTTTTCTCTCTACCTTTCCCCCTTTTCTCTTTTGTCATGCTGAAGATAAAACTAAGAGTTCTACACATTATATACAATCTGTACCACTAAGCTCCAGCCCCAGTGAGCTGCCTGGTAGGTGAGTCTGTGGGGCATTTATTTATTTATTTATTTATTCATTCATTCATTCATTCATTCATTCATTCATTCATTCATTTTTTGATTAGTGACTGATATAGGAGGGCTCAGATCACTGTGGGTGATGGCACCTCTGAGTAAGCCATGATGAGCAAGTCAATAATTAACATTCTTCCATTGCTTCTGCTTTAGTCCCTTATCCTGAATTCTTGCCCTGACTTCCCTCAGTGATGAACTGTGACTTGGGAGTAATGGGATGAAATAAACCCTTTCTTCCCCAAGTTGGTTTTGGTCATGGTCTAGAAAAAAAAAAAAGCCAAACTAGGACATCTGCAGTAAATTGAACTCCCCAATTTTTTAAAAAAATATTTTCTAGAATGTGTATGTGTGTATGCCCCCATGACATGTGGACAACTTCAACTTGTGGAAGTCAGTTCTTTCTCACAAGGTGGGAGATGGATGGAACTCAGGTCATCAGTTTAGTGACTAGTGTCTTTTATGCAATGAGCCAAACACTTTTGCTCAGTGTGCCATTTTCCCAGACTCTCTGTTTCTGAATAACAGATAAAGAGCTGAAAAAAAAATTAAAGTCATATTGGTAAGTCAGAACCTAGAAGAACTTAGCTGCTAGTCTTGATAGCAGGTACTTAAATTTACCTTTCAGTTATTTGGTGCTTCCAAATAACTGCCCGTTATTCCTGTGTATTGATCTTTTTATAATATTTCAACAGGGATTAAGAATATGCTTTATTTATTTTTGTATGTATAAGAGGTTTACCTTCATGTGTGTCTATGTACCATCTGCATACCTAGTGCCTTGGGAGGCCAGAAGAGTGTTGGATTCCTTGGAACTAGAGTTAAAAATAGTTCTGAGCCATGACGTGGTGCTAGAACTTGAACCCAGGTCCTCTGAAGAGCTGGGTACTGGGAGTTGGAGCCAGATCCTCAGTGTCCTTAAGCACTGAGCCACCAATATGCTTTTAATTTTCCAAACTTCTCAAATGGCAACAGCATCCTGCGGAGCTCACTATTTCCCTACTATAAGTTTAATGAGAAACAATTGAGAGTCAAACTGTGCCAGTATTTTGTAGAGCACTTCTGGGAACCAGAAATGTTCTAGTGCAGTGGTCCTCAACCTTCCTAATGCTGTGACCCTTTAATACAGTTTCTCATGGTGTGATGACCCCCAACCACAAAATTCTTTTTCTGTTGCTTTATGACTGTAATTTTGCTACTGTTGAGAATTGTAATGTAAATATCTGTGTTTTCTGATGGTCTTGGGTAACCCCTGTAAGAGCGTCATTCAACCCCCCCAAAAGAGTCTTAACCCAGAGGTTGAGAACCACTGTTCTAGAGTCTACTTCAGAAATGAAAAATGACCACATAAAATGGAAGAAAAACAGTAACTAATTTTTAAGACAAAAGTGTACAAATCTGTGTAATTTGCCTTTAATAATTTTTAATATAAAAACTTTGTTTTGTTTTTCCATTTTCACAAATAAACAAAACCACTAGCTGAGAGCAGTGGTACAGGCTTACAGTCCCAGCCACTTGAAAACTAAAGCAGGAGGACCACTTCAGCCCAGGAGCTCAAAGCCAGTTTAGATAAGTGAGCTAGGCATTCCCCCAATATTACATATGCAACCCATGGACCAACGAGTTTCTTATAAACACATCGGTTCTAACTTAATACCAGAAAATGTATATCATAAGCCTTAAATGCTTCTTTTTAAGAGTTCTTGTTCCAGACTGACAATGTCTATAAACAAGTCACGAACCAAGTGAGTCATAGAAATCAAGGTGAATTTAGAATTAACACTATTTCAACCTATCCTCCAAATCAGGAAAATCGCTTACAAAACCCCTGAACTATACTTGACTGTACTTTAAGGAAAAGGTAGCTGGCTGGGAAAGTGACTGGCACTTGGAAATGTAAAAGAAAGAAATTCCTTGCTATTTGGGCACCATCTTGTGGCATCATCTGAATATAGCAGCAAAGTTACATGAGGCCAAACATGAGGATCAACAAATTACAAACTGAAGGCTGATTACTACGCCCTAGGACTCAGCTGCACAGCAGGCAGGCTTGGCCTGGCTGAGGTTCTCCATGAGCAATGTTAAGGATAATGGACTTACCAAAGGATATCAGGATTTCCTAGGAAAGTTGTATGGTTCTTTAAAAGAGACAAGTTAGAGGAGCTTTAAATGCAAAGCAACCTTGGATGAAATGAATAAAAAATTGGTTGTGAATTCCATGGAAAAACATAGAAAACAGAAAAATGAGTTCCTAGAACTCAAAATTTTCATTAATATAGAAAACAAATCAGGAAGATTATCCATAAATAATAGAAAAATATGACTGACCTATAATTCATGAGTCTAAAATCAAAACAGTTTTGAAAACAGTCTTTGCTGTTATTTTAAGTTTGGGTCAAAATTCATTGCTGGTAGCAAATCTAACAAGACATGAAGCTATTTGATCTGTATATCATTTACTTAATGTGACTCATTACATACTTTGCTTAAGAAATATCGGTGTTAATGTGTTTGCTTTTGACATTATAAAACATATATTATAGACACTGTGTCATCTTTGTAAAGCCTGGAAAGTTTCGAAATCTTGAAATATATCTAGTATTAAATGCTTGCCAACAAAAAACTCCTAACCCCTAACTCGTGTGTGTGTGTGTGTGTGTGTGTGTGTGTGTGTGTGTGTGTCTATGTGATGTATATGTAAATTCTGGTGGTAAAGCATGAAAGCTACTCGTTTTTCCTACTAGTAACAGTAGGAAAACAAATTGAGAAGCACAAGAAAATAGTGAAAACATGAAGCATATGAAACATAGAGTAATAATGGTCAAATGGCACTTTTAAGTAATCCTCCTCTGAGACAGGGAACAGAGGGTTCCCTGATTATTTGGCTAAGGCTAAATAATCAGGAAGAACTGAGGCTGGAGCTCAGGTCCTTATTTTTAAGCAGCATGCTTTCCAGTATCCTGACATCTGAAAATATCAAAAAGAAAAGGAAAAGCATGTGAAAAAATTAACTGAAAGAAACACATTAATAAAAGAAGACATTAGGTGATGGGCTACATAAAAAAAGCTGTCATTAACACTGTCCTTATTACAAATAAAACAGTAAACTCGGTAAACAGCCCCACAGCAGCTGTAAGAGCAAGGAACCAGAAGAGAACAGAACATTAGAAATGAACGCTTAACCTGAAACATTTACATAAAGTAGCCCTGAAGACTTCAATTCCCAGTATGAAAATAAATGGACAAAAATGGTCATTGCATGGGCTGACTGAAGTCAAGGAGCCTTCAGCTACTGCTTTCCACTGAGGGAAGAGAAGGACTGAAGAATGAAAAGGGAACACTCTGGGGTCATGCTTTATTTGACAAAAGAAAAAAAAAAAAAGGGGGGTGGGGGAGGAAGGAGAAAGGCTGTAAATTAAAGACTTTCAAATTTTACTTGGGCACTTACAAAATGATCACAAAACCCACTTGTAGCCACCTACAGAGTAATAATCAGCAAGCTTTGTGAAAAACAAGCCTGGGCAAATTTAATTGCCTTCCTTTATTCCCCTGACAGTCTTGGTAGATTAAGGAGAAGGAGGTAGTATAAGCAACCTCATAATTGTAGCAAGGCTTTAGATAAAGTTTATCAAGTATTTATATACTCATCAGTGTACTAGAAAAATGTAATCCAGACCTCATCAGGACCCATTTAACTGGAGAATGATTTGCAGTGTATTAAGAACAAGAAACCATGTGTTGTTTATCTTAGCAACACTTGAAGTGGTCAGTTAGTCCTAGTGTTGACATTTTGTCTCTGATTTAGAAGCAACAACAACAACAAAAAAAAGGTAAGTATTACACCTTTGTAAAATAATTTCACATATTTATAATATGGTTAGAAATGAAGTGAACTTCACATAATAGGACAGGAAAAAATGAAAATACCCTGAAAATCTGATTTCAGTCAGTAATGCAGCACTGCACAACAATGGGATGCAAAGGTTTCTCAGAGCTTACTACCATGGATAGATCGGTTTTACTACAAAAGAACAAGTAATGTCCAGAGATGATTCTAGCTCATAGTGATTAATCAATCAAACTACATGATCAAATTATTTGCTTCCTCTGCTTTAGCCCTATGAACCAAATCCTGGCCTTTTAGAACCAGCCAATTAATCACCTACTCCTAAGCATGAAGTGAAATTAAGTTATGAAATGAAATTATAGTAGACTTGAAGAGGAGAGAACAGCTTATTCTGAGAAGCAATGTCATGCATTTCTAATTTTAGTCAGCAATCAAATATTTGGAGTAGCAAACATGGAAAAACTTTACAGATATTCCTGTATTGAGTCCATTACTTATATGGTTTCATCGCTCAGCATAAATCACTGGTTGAAAACACTCAATTAAGTCAAATCCAAAGCACTCAAGGATCATCTTTTACTTCCTACTCTCAGCACAACTCTGAACCACTGTGCACTCTGCTGGACCAAAAAAAGACTTTGCTCATGCTCAACGACTATGTATCCTATTGATACACATGGTGTGATCTGCTCTAAATGATCTGGCACTTCCCTGTCCTCAATGCTTTCAGAACTAGCTTTAGTGACTCTCTCTTAAACAACCAAGGTAAAAGCTGTTCCACTTAAAGGTTAAGAAAATTCAAGTAGGATAGAAAAATTCTATCAGAAAAACTCAAAAGATTAGGTATGTTCAACTCTTTTGGGGGGCAGGGTAGAGAAAGTTCAGAGTACCATAACATTTATGAAGACAAACTAAAGCAAGCAATATCATTCATACATAGAAACAATGAGCATGTTACTTTTTTTGTCCTCAATACCCCTGAAGTCAACAGATTTCTTTATGCAGGACAAAGAAGGGTTAGATTATTACATAACATTATGAAAGGACCTATAACAGAATATCGTTATAGATTTTGGTCCATGCTAATTCTGATCAACTGCCCAATGTCAGTACTTGCCAAGGGAGAATGCCATGACTGATCAGCAACATCTGTTATGTGTAATGGAAAAACAGCAATACATAGTATACTCTCATCAATACTGACTCATGTCATATAACACGTTATATATATGACATATATAAAACAGAAAAAGAATTTTAAATTTGTAGGGCACTTTCTCAACATTTTTACACATTAAATTATGTTGTACTCAAAAACTCCTCTATGGTTAGGTAGGTCAGTATAGCATTACATTCACTTAGTTGGAAAGTGGACAAAAGAGTGATAAGACCTGTGGAAAGCCACACAGCTAGTTAAATGGCAATAGCGCTATCGCAGCCCAGATTTCTTTATTTCTGTAGTGATCTGCCCTTGGTCTTTGTAGTAAAAGGCTGCTAGTAAAGATTGATTACCAGATTCCAGATTCCTACTAAGAAACAAAAAGAAGGAAAACAGGTTTAAACTACCAGACAGATTTAAATCAGACAAAAGAAAAATGTTCTGTCAGTTAAAGCTGCTAGTATCAAACTAAAAAGAAGGCTACTATAGTTTGCAGACGTCAAACATTCATTTACAGAAGTAATATTTTTCCCTGGGGGAGGGATAAAAAAATGTATGAGTTTTAATTCAAGAAGCTTACATTCAAATCCCTCCTCTCCTTTTTCTAGGTGGGTAACGTAGGACTGACTGTTACTTAACTTGAACTCTAAACTGAAGACAGTATCTTGCATCAGAAGTTGAAGGCAATGTCACCAAAATGACTACTTGAGAGTCTCTGTCCAGTCCTTTTCATCAACAGAACCCATTTCTTATAATACAAATCTTCAAAAATAAAAAGAGAAAAGCAGGGGTATATCTCAGTGACAGAGTGTTTGGCTCACACTGGCCCTGCGTCCAATCCCAACACCACAAAGAGAGAACGGGGAGAGAGAAGTACGGAAGAGTGAAGTTATAGGAAGGAAAAACGATTGCTTAAAATATCAAAGTGATCCCTGTTTTGTATGTTCTTAGTGCACACGGTCATCAGTGGACTGTAAGTCTTAAGGAGAGAAACAAAACACATTTAAGTGAGAAGCCTAGACTCCATCCAACTCCACGAGAATGTTTAATACTAAAAAGAGGAATGTTTATGCTAGAAAGAGAAAATCCCCATCTTCATTTTCTCAGACACAAAGAGCAGAAGAGCCTAACGTAGAACAGCAGAAGGGTCTTCTGCAATGAATACATTAATATACAGAAAGAACCCATCCCATTGGTCTCTAATTACAACCACTCATTATAACCAAAGTGTTCTTGAGTTCTAGTTACCAGGGGAGCTGAGACGCTGAGGCAGGTTGATTACAAGTTTAAGTTCAGCATAAGCAGCCCAGTGAGTGCAACATCTCAAGCAAACAAACAACAAACAAACAAACGCTCTTCATTTTACAAAGCAACAGAGAAGCCAGTATGGCAGCTCTCATCTATAAACCCAGTAGCCCAGAATTTGATGTAGAACTGCCATAAGTTCAAAGGCAGCCTAAGCTACATAGTAAGTTCTAGGCTAGACAAGACTACAGAGTAAACTTGTTTCAAAACAAATAAAAGCAACTGGGTGCTCACTCAGCTAACAGCCTCATTTTTAAATTGCACCACAGAAATGTCCTTTGGATAGCAAAGCATTTAAAAGCTACTACAGGAGAAGCGGCACGCTGATGTGCCTGCTGAGAACTAGAGAACACTCAGATATTCTCCAGGCCAACCAACAGCTGCAGGATTTGCAGAGCTACAGATGATATTACACTTATTGAGAAGGCAAGACATCCAGCGAAAGGAGTCTATCTTCATTAGATACCACTGTCATTACCCTCTACTCATTTTCTTTTGTTGGCTTTTGTTCAGTGCTGGAACTGAACCCAGGGTCTTGGGACATGCTAAACAAGTACTTTACAACTGAACTACATCCTCAGGCTCCTTTATTTGTCCTCTAAGGTAACTGTAGTTAACCACAGAAGAGTCATTTTCTTCAGAGATAACCAATATAAATGATTAGGGATAGTGCACATTCATCTTTAATCCAGTTCTGTTATTTGCCATCTATAAGAGCAAGAGCGATCTTTTCCATTTTCTATACTCTATAAGAAACTTTTCAATGAACAATGCATTAGGAAAAAAAAAAAAAACCACTGAAATTGCCTCATTATAATCATTAAAGTGAATTAGTTGGGCTCAATTCTGAAACTCTAACACCTGCCATGACGCTCTCACTCACTGGTTATCTGGCCATTGCAGCTGAGAGTCTGAAAGCTGTCTGCTATCACCAAAGCATAGTGGACAGGAAGTATTAATGGCCTTTCTAGACTTGCAATAAACAAGGAACTTGAAACCTCAATTGGTTTAAGGAGAAAATGAAGTCACTTTTTGGTAAGTGGAATTTTCAGAATTGTTTTCACTGATTCTGTAGATCTTGGGTAAAGGCAAAGAGCCTGTCTAAAGCTTGAAGGTTGTTTAAAAAAATACTGTGTCAAGCCTAAGTCCATGTCTTACCTAGAATTCAACAGCCTATAAAGAGAAGATTTATTTTAAGCCTAACTCCTAACTATAAGAAAGAAAAGCTCTGCTTATGGATCTGTGGAAATATTTTCTGAGAATTCGTGAGTGTTAAGAAGTAACTGGAAGACAGGTGAATCTACTCCAGACTGTCTTAAGAAGACAAAAATCCCTCTCTGGTTATTATCACCAATATTAGTTGCTGGCTCTTCCTTAACCTGCTTTCTACCAAGATCAAAGCCATCTGATTACACCACGGCACTGTCATAGCAGTCATAGGCCCAGTAAAAGCACAGCAAACAAGCTCTTGGAGACTGTGAAGTCTTCAAAGGAAAAAAACAAAAAACTTTTATTTTTATTTCTTAGTTTGGAACCAACCAAGAAGTTTCAAAGGTGGAGCCTATGTCATAGTAACAGTAAATTAATTAGATGCCTTGATGTGTGAACAGGAGACAAATCCTGGATGCTTCCTCCTGAATGCAAGGCTTGAAAACAACTTCTAAACATTTGAGAGGCTTCTCGAAAACAGAAAAGACAAGATGGAATGGCATTCATCCCTTTCCTTTTTCTTTTCAACACATGCCTCTTAGTGAACCCTTTGTGGACCAGGGAACACTCACCTCGGGCTTCCTGCAGTTTCTTGAGCTCTGCTTCCCGTTCAGTTTTGCTCTGTTTGCTTCGAACCCCAAGGGCACTGATGACTAACCTCCTGGCTAAGGCCGCTGAAGTCTCCGGTCGTTCCTTTGCTGGCTGGAGAAACTCTGGGAAAAAAAGGAAAGACAGTAAGGAAGAGAAACCAGTACAGCTCCAAGTGATTTAGCTCAGTAATTAACATACAAAATACACTAACAAGGGCAGTATCAGCAGTAATTAATACAACCCTGATAGATGATAATCCACGGAAATTAGTATAGCAGAAACAACCCTGGCTGCATTATCTGCATTCACACAGTTTCTTGCAGCACCTCTCAACAAATGAAACAGGAAAACTAGTCAGTGATGTCATCAGGCCTGGTTACTGTACTGCTTCCCTTTAGCCACTTAAGTGGCTGCTCAAAGGGCCTATTTCCAACATGGTTGTTTTCTTCTTGCCCTTAAAACCTCATAAATAGAATTAACATAGAATAACATGATGTCTACCGAACTCTAGATTGTGTGAAACTGCTGGAATGAACAATAACTTCAGCATCAATAAGGAACAAAGGAACAAAGGCAGAGAGGGTGTAGGCTCACCAGCACAAGCTCTAGCTTTGGCCTTGGCTGCTCTTGTGGCCTGTGACAAGGGCCGAATCTTCACCATGGTATGTTTAATACCTAGAGCATCGCGAGCTGCAAGGAATAAATGTAAGAAAATAAAGTGATGCAGAAGATTTAGGGCTATTTCTTATAAAGCATTTATTCCTGTAAGTTATGTTTGTTGGTTTTCATAACAAAATCATAAAATATAGAAAATGTGAATGAGTAGGGCGGTGATTACTTTAGAACACGGATTAGATCAAACCCAGCAAATGGGCTTTTTGTTTCTGTAAAAACTTTATGAAACTGATTCATACTTGTTTGCACACCGTGGCTACTTTCTTGCTACAATAAACCAGTTAGGTAAGGGCAGAATATTTTTGCTCCTCAAAGCAAAAGTATTTTATCTGGCCTATGCAAATTCATGCTCTAGAGATCGTTCAGACAGGAACTCACAATCCAGCACCTCCGACTGCTGTTGATTCCTCTGCATGAGCTCTACCATGAACCCACAGTATATATGTGTGCAAAAGACCAACCATATATTCAGAGAGTCACTATTACAGTAATCTCATAGGATATACTATTTAAAATTCATTTGTCTGAAGAAAAAAAAATACTGTAAAATTTAGTCTCACTGTGGTCTTTATCATGCCTGACATTTATGTGTGCAGATGGCCTGTGAGGTAGTACCTACCTTTCCAAATACCAAATGCTGGATTAAAGAGAAGAGGGAAAGAACATGTGGGTACCAAGCCACATGCCTCAAAAACAAGAATTTATTCTTCTACTGGCTGAGCAAAGTTCCAACTGGCTGGAACGGAAGGGCAGTAAGAACAAGTACCATGAGAAAATAAGCAGTAAGAAGGGACCTGGAGCTCCTGAGTCACTGGACAGATACCTGTGATTGCACTGGAGAAAACTCCTAGGGCATGTGTATCATCTACCCACGTAATATTAAATCCTTTCTTTCTGTAACAAAAGAAAACAACTTTTATATTTCTTAAAGTTGATTTTAGAAAATGTCTTTAAAATCATTTTTACAAAGCATTTCATAAGATAGAGGAATAGTGACATAAAAACAGCATGGCATATGGAAGCCACTAAAATTAAAAGTAATCATACCATCATAAATAGAATTACCTGGGAGCATTTTATAGATGCCAACTAATTAATCCTCACAAATCTGCTGGAAAGGTACAGCATTTAATGTACTATTTTCAAGAGATGTCCTATGAACAGCATATGAGAAGGGATTTTTTAAAAGGAAGCCAGAGGAGATATAGAAGAATACAGGAAGTCAGAGAGGGTCACCTGGATTTTATGCATATGTAAACTGTGTGTGTGGAAGACAGATACTACATTGCTAGAGATGTAATTAAAATTGTTAAAAAATAGTATAGTCAAATAATTAAAAAATATTAAGTCAAATAATGAGAAATGCAACTATACTCACAAATGTTTACGATTCTTTATTATTGTAGAAGGAAAAAAAGGCGTATGTGTTGGGGGGGTAGAAATAACTATAGCTAGCCAGAAATAAAAAAAAGAGGCTGGAGAGACAGCTCAACAATTAAGCACACTGACTGCTCTTCCAGAAGACCTGGGTTCAAATCCCGGTACCCACATGGCAGCTCACAACTGTCTGTAACTCCAAGATCTGACACTCTCACATAGACACACATGCAGGCAGAACACCAATGCACATAAAATAAAGTCAATAAAAAATAAAAAAAAGTTTAAAAATCACAATTAAAAAAACAGATTAGAAAGAATCATAACAATGAACATTTACTACATTAGAAAAATACCTTTTTAGTTTTTAACACAGCAAGATAGAGAGCACAAAGAATACCAGGATGACAAAAACCCTATGTTTTGTTTTTGTTTTTTTCCCATACTAGCTGAGACAGGGTTTCTCTGTGTAGCCTTTGCTGTCCTGGACTTGCTTTGTAGACCAGGCTGGCCTCGAACTCAAGAGATCCACTTGCTTCTGTCTCCCCAAGTGCTGGGATTACAGGTGTGCACCACCAAGCCCAGCTCCCCTATGTATTTTTTTTTTAATTCCCTTAATACATGAATAGGTTTTACTTTAATTAAATCTACCCTTGGCCCCCGACTCCTGGTATTTAGAAGGTGGGTGGATGCTGTATCCATTTAGCAAAATGGTAGCAGTAGGTTCTCCCATATGGAGACCCATGGGTTCTCAGCAATATTTACAGCAGCAGGCATGAGTTCCTCCTGTTGGAAAGACTTTAAATCCAATCAGACAGCTACTGGTTACCACTACTCCCCTGATACATGCGTAGTATGTTGCACCAATGGGCATAACTGGAGCTGTGGGAGTCACTGTGGTTCACAGGTTCACAACTGGGTAGACTTCTCTCCTGGCAGCCTGCCTAGCACCTTGTGGCACTATGAAAGCTAACCAATGGGTAGGAAAACAGAAATGAGACTGTCCACGATCAGCCAAGAACATGATAATGAGCACTCAGAAGGCAACTTTTAAACAGTGTCCATTATTTTTATAATTAATAGCAATAAAGTCACCAGGGAGATTAACACTTATGAAGATGGTGATGAAACATAAAGTTGACTCTGACTTAAGGTATTATACACTACTACATCACCACTTAAACCACGTAAAAGAAAAATGTTAAATATCTTCCCCCCTTTTTAACAATTTCCTTGACAAAAAAAGTAATAGAGGAAACTTAGAAGATTAGAGAACTTCTTAAGCTGGACCACACTATAAAATCACCACAGGGTTGAAGAATTTAAAGTTCAACAGTCAGAGCCTCTGCTGCAAAGTTTGGAAAAGATATGGAAAGACCTTGCCTTAGCCCATGAGACTTCATTGTCCTTTCAAAGCCTTTCGAGAATGGCTTTGGAATTTATAGAAAACGCCCTCACAGATACAGTTAGGAAGAGACAAAGAAAAGCAAAGCAAATGACTCAAAAGAATTAACTACTCCTTAACCTGGTATGGTAGTGTATGCCTATATATAACCCAGTGCTGGAGAGGAGAAGATGGGACAATTTTGAATTCCAGGCTATCCTGGGCTGCAGAGTAAGAAACTGTCTCAAAACCCAAAATAGCAACAAACCCCAATAATACCCGAGGAAATTCTAGACAGGGACAAAATGATCCTCATTTTATTAATAACAGTCTAATTTTATCAATGATAATCCAAAGTAGTTCAAATTTGAGATTTAATCTTATTGATGTTCTTAAAGAGCTATCAGGAATTGAACAGCACATGATACTGGGTCTTAACAAAACTGAATTAACAACATATCTACACTACACATTTATAGTAAGGTTTACAGCATAGGTTAAATGTCTTCCAGAATCTATTCACTCTGCTTTCTTTCAGGTATCTTCCCCTAATTGAGTTTAACTGATAAAACAAGTAAACAACTGATAGTTAATTTCATCTATTCTAGCACTCTACTTAAAATTTTTTTGCCAGGCAGTGGTGGTACATGCCTTTAATTCCAGCACCCAGGAGGCAGAAGCAGAGGGATCTCTGTGAAACTGAGGCCAGCTTGGCCAACAGAGTGAGTTCCAGGACAGCCAGACCTACACCGAAAAACCCTGTCTCGAAAACCAACACTTAATTAATTAATTATTCCCTTCTTGAGAATAAGACACAGGCCAGATGTGGTAGTAAACACCAGCACTTCTGAAGGCTGAAGCAGAGGATCAGGAGTTCAAAAGGCCAGCCTGGGCTACACCTAAGTTGTGTCTTAAAACAAAAGCCAACTATTTTTTATAAATAAAATTTTATTTTCACAACTACATTCATTTGTTTATAACCTGTCTATGGCTGTCCTAGTGAGACAGCACAGCTACCTGAAATATGTACTCTCTGGTTCTTTATGAAAGAATTAAAAGCTTTGCTCTGAAACAGAATTTTACAACTTTAATGTAAAGTTGGGATATGGCAGAGCATGTCTATAATCTTGGCACCTGGAATATAAATAAACCGAATTTTAATTTTAAATCAAACTACAAATAGATTTGATTCATTTTTAATAGTAGGATTGAAATATTAAAGTATACTCCTTCTTGATATTGACTTTCTTCTAGACCTTAAACATCTTTTTTTTTAGTAACTTTCTGGATTGTCTTTCTGTTCCTCAGTCTATTTTTCATTATAAGTTATAAATAATATGTATACTTCTGATTCCTTTACCTTCTCCTAAAATGTACCAACTACATAAAACACTGTTCTAGAGGCCACCTGTAATACACTTAACTCTACTACATTTAACAGTGCAAAACTGAGCAAATTATGAGAACAAAGAACTGTTGTGTCTATAAAACAGAACTGAGGCAGGAATGGCAGCTCATGCTTATAATCTTAGCATTCTAAAGGGTAAATCAGGGAAGAATTCAAGGCTAGCTGGGGTTACATGGCAAAGCTGCCAAAACAAAACAAATAAACACGAGCAAAAACAAAACAAAACAAAAAATATAGCAAAATTTAGTTGAATGATTTGCAAGATTATTCTTGTCACTTTAAAAACAAACTACAACTAAGAGCCCACAGGACTTTTCACTCATAAATTCTGAAGATATGTTAAAATTTCTTTAAAGATTTGAAGTTATAAGTCATAGATGAGGTTCACTTAGAACAGCCTAATCAACAAAGCAATAACAAAAAAGGGTAGAGCAACTGAACACCATATTAAGCAGACACTTATATGTGTCAAAATAAACAGTTGTGACATATAACACTTAAAAGAATCGTTTCCCATTTGACTTTTTCTGAGTCACCAGAAAACCTCAAATTAACAATTTAGTATGAAAACTCCTAAACTGTTAGCATCCTTGGCACATGGCACAGGAAAATCCATAGAGGTTTTAAGAAAATTCCCTCTTTTTTTATTGGCCTTAATGCACATAAATATAACCTCAAGAAAAACATCAACTCACAGTAAAAATGTAACTAAATCCCCCCAAAAGGAAGACACCACGACATAAACAAAACTACCAGAAACAAACTACAACTAAAGTGGCTTCAGATAACAGAACTACCAGAGACTACAAAAGGGCTATGTTCGGTGTACTTAAGAAATAGAAAAAAATATTGCAAACGAAGATATATGGGGGTGAGGGGAGGCTATTAAAAAAACGACCAAGCAGACTTTAAAAGAATTTCTTTTTGAAAAATTGAAGGTATCACAATACAAACTTTTGGAATACAACACAAATCATTAACAGTTAAGCACAACTTGGAATAGATAAAATAACTAAACTAAAACTGAAAAAAATATTCAGAATGTCTCAGGGAAAAATAAATGGACTATACAAAAGAGAGGTAACAAAAAATTAAACAAGAAAATCTAATATACATCCAATCTGTTTCTTGGAGGAGGTGAAGAGAAACTGGGTTAGAGACAATACTGAAGAGAAAAATGTCTAAAACCTTCCCAAAAATCAATTTAAAAATTTAATCACTGATTTAATAAACCTACATTATCTCAATCAGGAGAAATTTGAAGAAAATCTATAAAGCCCACATTACAGTGAAAATTATCAATATCAAAATCAAAGAGAAAAATTCAAGTGTATCCAGAGAAAAGAGATTACAAAATGGAGACTGTCAGTTAACATCTCACCTAAAGAGAAAGCCGTAAGCATTAGTGTACCTCCATGTTTCTGAGAGAAAAAAAATAACTGAAATCTAGAATTATTAATATATACACAATACAAATGTTTTCAAGAATGAAGGCCTAGAGTGTAGTTCAGTGGTAGAGCATTATCATACAGAAAACCAGGACTAATTCTTTATATAGTAAAAAACAACTGTAACAAGAATGAAACTGATATTAAGTCATTGAAGAAACACGACACCTGAGTTTGTTTACTAGCAAACCATTACTAAGTTAAATAATAAAGACTATCTCATTTAGGAAGAAAATGAATCAAAAAGTCATGACAACATATAAGTTGAGTACAAGGTAGGAGATGAAATTAAAAAGATCTTGCAGCATTTAGAAGGAGGCAAAAAAAAAAAATAGTTGTAGCCACTAATCATTTAAGCACACATTTTTATAATTTTCAGATTAAAAATTATAAAAGAACGGAAATGGATTACATTTTAAAAAATGAAATGTGAAAAAAATAAACCTGTAAGTCTAGAAAAATGAGGGAAGGGATAGGAAAGTAGACACAGGAGAGATGACAGGCAAATGTAAAAACAAGCAGTTGGATGTTAAGTTCAAATACATCACTAGTTACAGTAACTATAAATGGACTAAATGACCACCAAGACAGACTTACAGATTCATCACCAACAATGGTCTTTGTAAATGTTACAACTGGGTCTACAAAGGCTGCCTGGTCCTTTCAAGAAACTGAAGACTAGTCTGATATACAGGCTTTTTAATAGATCTGAACAACACACAAACCCAATGCTAAAATAAAGGACTGAAAAATTAAAGACATAATTTTTTTTTTAAGTATTAAGATGACTTTCTCTCACTTTATCTAACATTTGGAACCATTTGCAAATACTTACTGGTAACTGCAGAAAATCCGCAAAAGGTCTTCTGTACGAAATTCTTGAGGAAAGTCATAAATTTCAATGACATGTGGGAATTCACATTCACTGAGATCAATATCGGGAAGTTCATGGCTGTAATAATCAAATCTAGGCTCCTGGATGCTTTTTCTGTTCTTCATATTCCCTGATAACTAGGGAGGAAGAAACATAGTAAAGTGCCTGCTAATGGGAAATCAAGGCATTAGAATTTGCTTCCATATAAACAATTCTGCTCCTGTCTCCATGTTTTTGTTCCTTAACTTCTGGCATTATCTCTGTATTAGTGGTGTTCGTGGACACAATAATGGCTATGCCCACCTGCTTTATAATCATACATGTGAAATGTGGGAAAAGGTGTTAAAATCTCAGCAAATAAGCAAGTCATAAAACTTAACTTGTATCTACCAATAATCATGTGAGAAAATGGACTTATTAGGGATGTGTGGATGGAGTTCAGTGACACAGCACTTGTCTAGTATTCAAGGCCCCAAGTGTGGTGCACAGAGAATGGCCGGAGGAAGGAAGGATAGACAGACAGATGGATAGACTAACATAATGAGTTACAAATGGCACATTCTGGAAACTAAATTTCAGACAACAGCCGAAGAGATGAATTAACACTTGTTTTAATTGGGCTCATTGATCAGGCCCACCTCATAATTTCTTTTCTGGAAGTGAAAAAAAACAAAATAAAGAAGTTGGGCAGTGGCACACGCCTTTAATCCCAGCACTCATGGAGGGAAAGGCAGGGGGATCGCTGAGTTCTAGGCCAGCCTGGTCTAGGACAACCAAGGCTACAGAGAAACCCTGTCTCAACAAACAAACAAAAACAAAAAAGAAAACAAAAAGTTTTAAGAGTGAAAAACTTTTAGTTCATCTTTGATTGTATATTAAAAGGTAAGAGAAAGCTTACAAAGGAACTTATGATAAACATACGTAGCATAAGCAGTTACACTCAAGGTCCCTAGTGTAGGAGCTACCTAAAGCTATGAAAGAATTAATAGTAATGAACTGCTATCTCATTAAAAAGAAAACTCAAAAACCCCTGAAAGCTATTAACTGCCCACACTGGAAGCAACAGGAAAAGGCAAGATGCAAAACCATGGCATCATGGTGCCACCAGGTCTTGGAGGGACCTGTGATCAAAGTCCAACTATAGGCTCTTCAAGCACTCCCTCTCTTATGGCTGTCATCAGAAGGAAGGAGAGAGAATTTATAATGCCAAAAATACATCTCTTCTTTTTGGAAAAGTGCAAAACAGATTTAATCAAATTACTGGGGAGGGAGGAAAAGAGACATTATTAATAATTGATTAATAATCTAGACATTATTCTAGTTTATTTTCCCCACTAACTCCTGTTTTCCATCTAAAAGCATGGGAATAATAGTATCTCCACCTCATACACAGACATATAAAGTAAATGAGATGTGGTAGATGCTTGGCACACAGAATTAAAATTAAAAAATGTAGCCCACGTTTACAGGTCAGGCACCATGTTAGCTACAATTTGTTTAAAACAGAGAGCAAGAAGAGACTGCTCCTCCACCTGCACAAAGAGTAAAGGCCAACTGAGCTATAAAAGTAGAGTTTTCCTAGGTGTACAAGAAATCTAAGTTTGCCAAACAACTAAGTGGTCTCCAATCCACAGGCACATAGAGAGCTTTCCTTTCTGCATGCAGACCATGAGAAGAAGTGGTCACAAGTAGGCAAGAAGATATTAGGTAGTGTAACTTACACAGACATTCAGAATTCTGTCATCATTTAGAAATCAAGCCTTATGCCAGAGGCACACTGTGATCACCAGAACCTAAAATCACCAAGCTTCAGTACTACAACTTTTATTTTTCAAAGTCATTTCAGGTATTGGGGGCTCTTATATTCTAATTAAAAATTTGAGGATCAGCCTGTTAATTCTTCCAAAATAAGCATCTGGATCTTCACTGGCTATGTTATCCAATTTGGAAAGTTATCTTAATATGAATATGAGATGTATTTCCATTTATTTTTATCTTTCAACATTTTGAATTTATTACATATATATTTATTTTGTGTGTACATGTACATGTGAAGGCTCCTGAGGAGGAATCAGATGACAACCTTGCAGGAGCTACTCCCTTCCTTCACTACACAGGCCCTAAGGACAAACTCAAGTCATCTGGCCTGCTGTAGGCACCTTCATTCAAAGAGCCATCTCAGTGGCCTCATTTTGAGTTTTAGAGTACCAGTTTGATATTTTTTGTTAAACTTATTCCTAAGCATTTTCTTTTTGATGCTGTTGTAATATAATTGCTTTCTTCATTTCATTTTTTTTGATTGCTGACACTGACATTTTTATGTACTCTGCAAAAGCTAAACAAAGTACTGTATATCTGTACATTTACAAATTAGGGTTAAATAAGGCATTGTGAGAAGTAAAATGCAGACTATAAAATATCTTTGGAAAAAGAAATAATTTGAAGTGATTATCAAGAAAAAGGCAGGATAGTCTGGCAAGAAAAATTGACTCAAATTCTTTGTTCTACCCTAGTAGGTAAAACTGAATTTGTACACTTACACCTCAATTATTGAGCACTCTGGCTTCTGAAACTGATTAAAAAACAGTCAGTAATAGAAAACTCATGAAATGCTTAATACAGATTTTCAACATGAAAGAATCTAAAATCAACTAGTTGACAGACAAGGTTCTGGGCACACCTCTGAAAAATTATCTACATTTTGGTAAGTGAGGTGAGAGGTCCCACCCAGAATATGGGCAGACCCTGCACTGATTGAAAAGAATGCCTACTTCCCACATGCTGTTGGTATTATTTAGAACCATTTACATTTCTATTCACAATACACCGTGTGTGTGTGTGTGTGTGTGTGTGTGTGTGTGTGTAGGTAGTTAGGTAGGTAGAAAGACAAACTGTTAATGTTCTCTCCTGAGAATCCCAGAAAAGTATTAGAAGGAATTTGAGAGATAGGAGAGACACACAAATGGGCATAAAAAAGGGAAATGCACAGAGAATAAAAGAATATAAAGATGGAAGGACCAAAGTGAGATTGTGAAGGTAGGTTCACTAACACAGAAGGATCTGGAATAGACCCAGTAGTTCAGAGCTTTAAGGAAAGGCTATTATATATGAGGAACAAATACTTACACTGATGAGACAGGAATCTCTGACAGGGTAGACTTAGACTGTCTAACATAGTGGTTGCATGTCATATGAGGATATACAGTACTTGAAATATGGCTAGTTCATATAAGATGAGCTTTAAATATAATGTATCAAGTTTCAAAGATTTAACACAAAAATAGAAAGTAAAAATATATCTTATTCATGATTTCTTACACTAATCACATATTGAAATGGTGTTTTGGACATATATTAAAATACATAAATTATACCTGCTTGTTTTTATATCTTATGATTAGTAGAAAATTCAACCTTACTGTTCGGTATGGTGGCACATGTTGTTAATCCCCAAACTCTACAGGCAAGTGGATCTCTGTGAGTTTGGGGCCAGCCTGGTCCAGGACAGAGTTGTACAATGAGACTGTCTGAGGGATGAAAATCCAAAGTTACACATGTGGCTCCTATTTCTATTGTAGACAACTAATCTAAGTGTAACCAGTTCTGGGACAATATTTCCTAAAGTCAATATGAAATATTTCTATTGTAAGACTCACATTTTATAGGTAAGAAATATTTGATAAAAATCAAACAGATGAGAGAATTATAATTTGATCCATTTTGATGCATCTACAGCAGACCAAAGGAGAATTTGCAAATGACTCTGAGCAAATAATTTAAAATATATATCATGTGTGTATGTGATGTGTGTATAGGTTGCACTACAGCACACATGTGGAAGAAGTCAGGGGACAACTCTGAAATCTAGACTCTCCTTCTATCTTTACATGTGTTCGTTCTGTGGATCAAACTTAGGTCAGGTTGCCATGCAAGTGCCTTTACCTGAGTAACCAACACAAACATCTGAAGACTTTTATCAGTGTTCCTGTTTTGCTGCTTAGAAAGCCTAAGTGAAACAGAATATTCTTTCATTTATTTAACTTGCTACCACAAACTGTTCAACTAGTCAACTTCTTCGAAGTATGGCTTGAAGATTCGTACTGCCTTGGTAGTCTGGCCAGGCCTACAAAATATAGCTTGACTTACCGTGACATAATCATCCAAATCTATTTACAAATTTTTAAAAAAATGAAATAAAGAATGATGGGAAGTAAAAAAAAAAAAAAAATACAGGCTCTTTAATTCTTGTTTAAGATACAAAAGGAAAATACAAAGATTTGATTTATTCTCTATAAAAAATTAAAATATGCTACATTATTGGGAGAGTTATCTACATCTCTGTCAGATGGCTGCTATTATTATTCCAAATTCTATGTGCAGACAGAGAATTATGTCACCGAGAGTCTAAAAGGATATCCCTATGGTTACAAATCAGATTACTGACAAAGTCTTAATCATAATTCCAGTCACCTGGCTGCTAATCTAGCTTCCATCCAATAACATAGTAAAACGGCCTTATAGCAAATGGAACCAGAAGCAATGCCTGCATCAATGTTCAGCGTAACACTCTTTTTGATTAAGGATTTATGAATAAAAGCTCTTGTAGGCAGGAGGAAGGATAATATCAATGGCGAAGTTGAAAAGATAACAGAGGGAAGGATTTCTTTGCACTCCTATATTCTAATAGGCTACAAATTTTCAGAAAACAAAACACTGCCCACATTAAGCAGCCTCCTAAAGATGTTCCACACTGATTCCTGAAACCTGTAAAATTAGGTATGAATCAGACAGTAGACACAGATGTGCAAATCAGCTGACCTTAAAAACAATTAAGAGCATCTTTGTGGGCCTGATGCAATAATAAGCATCTTTAAAAGCTGAAGACCTCAGCTGTTGGGGGGGGGGGGAGAGAGGGTTGTAAGCAGGGCAACCTCTAGTAGCTGAAAAAACTTTTAAAAAATAAATCACTTCCCTCACAGCTTCCATAAAAGAGCACAGCCTTGCCAATATCCTGATCTAGTCCAGAGGTGCACCATCTTGGGACTTGTGATTTCTAGAACTGTAAAATAATTAATTTGTGTAAGCCTCTGAGTACACTTATTACAGTAGCAGTATACTATATGCTAAATAGCTAATA